CATCTTTCTTAAAAATTAAAGAAATTGAATTTATAAATATTAAAGAAAATAAGGAATATTTAATTCAGTTTAAGGAAAAAATTAATGATTATTCTGCAAAAATTTTATTGAATAGTGGTACTTCTTGAAACTTTATTGATATAAAGTTTATTGAACAAAACAACATTACAACTACAAATATTAAACCTATTATGGTGGAATTTGCTGATGAAAGAAAAACTAAAACTAAACAAATTGTAAATATTAAAAAATTAGAATTAGGAATCTACTATATTTCTGAAATCCAAGCTCAAGTTATTACTCTACAATGATATGATGCTATTTTTAGAAAACCTTAGTTATATCATGCTAACCCTACTATTGATTAAAGAACCAATACACTTACTTTTCAATATGGTTCTAAAACTATAGTTGTTAAGTCTGATAACTTAAGTCCTACCTTTTCTAATTCTAACTACAACTCTATTTATATTTTTCATCAACAACTTACTAAAGCTTTTACTAATGCTAAACTATTTGCAATATATTTGGATACTCCAAATAACAAGAAAAAGGATTTTGAACCTGAAATTCAAAAATTAATTACTTAATACAAAGATGTGTTTTCTAAAACTTTATCTAATTACTTACCTTTTAAATGTAGTCTTGATCATGCTATTAAATTAACACCTAGTACTGAATCTTTACATCAACTAATCTATAGGTTATCTTATATTGAAACTAATGAACTTAAAAGACAACTTAAAGATTTGTTACAAAAAGATTATATTCATCCAAGTACTTTTTCTTTTGGTATTCCTGTTCTTTTTGTTCATAAAAATAATGAAACTTTAAGATTGTATATTGATTACAGAGTTTTAAACAAAATTACTATTAAAAATCTCTATCCTTTATCATGTATTAAAGACCTTATGAATAGACTTGTGAGAACAAAATATTTTTCAAAAATTGATTTTTATTCTGGTTATTATCAAATTTGAATTAAGAAAGAGGATATTTTTAAAACTACTTTTCATATCCGATATGGACATTATAAATTTTTGGTTTTATCTTTTGGTTTAACCAATGCATCTGCTACCTTCATGACTCTTATGAATAATATTTTTAAAGAATTTTTGGATCAATTTGTTATTGTATATTTGAATGACATTCTTGTTTATAATAAAACCAAACATGAATACTTTAATCACATGAAGCAAGTTTTGAAAACTTTAAGGAAACATCATCTGTTTACTAAAATTAGCAAATATAAATTGTTTAAACAAAAAGTTAAATACTTGGGACATTACATTTTTGATGAAGGAATTTCTGTTGATATTCACAAAATTGATGTTATAAAAAATTGGTCTATTTCTTCTAACATCTCTGAACTTTAATCTTTTCTTGAACTTGCAAATTATTATCAAAAATTTGTCAAAGGATTTTTTACTATTGCTGCATCTCTTACTAAACTTCTATATAAAGATCAAGATTATTTATGGAATAAGAAATAACAAAAAGTTTTTGACTAACTTAAACTACATCTTATTTTTGCACCTATTCTACTCCTTCCTAATCCAACTAAACCTTTTACAGTAATTACAGATGCATCTGACTTTGCTATTAGAGTTGTTCTTAGTTAAAATCAAGAAAAAGATAAACAACCTGTTGTTTATAAATCTCACAAATTTTCTTCTGCTAAACAAAAATATGCTGTTCATGAAAAGGAATTATTAGCTATTGTTCATGTTATTAAACTTTGGCATATTTATCTTAAAGATCAAAAATGTACTGTAATTACTAATCATACTTCTTTGGAATATATCAAGTCTCAAAACAACCTTTCATGAAGGCAAGCTCATTGACTTGAAATTTTACAATCTTGTACCTTTGATATCAAATATAGGCCTGGCAAAACAAATATTGTAGCTGATGCTTTATCTTAACAATCTCATTTGGTCACTTTTTCTGTTATTTTTCTTTATCTTATAAACTTTGAAGAAAAATATTTTAAGAATAATTACTTTGCTTCTATTTATAAAACTTTGAAAAATCTTGATTTAGGTGACAAAAAACAACAAGCTTATGCTCAACATTATAAATTAAGAGATAATAGGCTTTATTTAAAGAAAAACCAAGCCTAACTATTCCTATAGATAAGGAATTAAGGACTAAATTATTAGAGGAATATCATAATATTAAAATAGCAGAACATCTTGGGATTGATAAAACTTATAAAACAATTTGATAAAATTATTTCTGACCAAAAATGAATAAAGATGTCAAGAAATTTGTTTTAACTTGTGACTTCTACCAATATAATAAAAGTAGTAATCAACAATCAGCTGAGTTACTTGAAACATTAACAACTCCAACAACAAAATAAGAACAAATTACTATGAACTTTATTATTCAGTTATTTACTACATAACTAGAATATGATGCTATTATAGTTTTTGTTGATAGATTAACTAAAAGCATTTATTTTCAAGTTATACATACTACTATTACTGTACCTGAAGTTGCTAAAATTTTCTTCTCAACTATCTTTAAAAACTATAGATTATCTAAAGTTATAATCTTTGACCAAGATGCTAAATTTATAAATAACTTTTAAAAATTACTTTTTAATCATATTGGGACTAAATTAGCAATGTCTATAGTTTTTTATTCTCAAACTGATGGCCAAACTGAAAGAATGAATCATATTTTGGAGAAAATACTTAGAGCATATTCAATATACAAACAGGATACTTGAGATAAGTATTTGCCTACAACTAAATTTGCTTATAACAACTCTAAACAAGTATCTACTAGATTTATTCTATTTGAATTGGATTGTAGACAACACCCTAACACTCCTGCTTCACTTACAACCAAGAAACTTAATTAAGTACCTGCCATTGAGAATTTTATTAACCATTAGAACAACATGATTAAAATTACTAAGAATATTTTAATAATAGTTCAGAAAAGGCAAACAAAATATGCAAACTAACATCAACATGAATTAAACTTTAATATCAGTAATAAGGTTATATTATTAGTCCATAATATTAACAACTCTATTAACAAATATAGACCTATTTATAAATTGGCTCCAAAATATTTAGGACCTTATACTAACTCTGCCAAAATCTCATCTACAAGTTATTGATTGGACTTATCTTCTATTTTGAAAATTCATTTTGTATTTATGTTTCAATATTAAAGCCTTATCAAGAATCTGAAAAATTTAATTATGAAGTCCTATCTCAACCTATTATCATCCTTGAATCTAATGAAGCTGAATATGAAGTTAAACAAATTTTGGATAAAAGATTAATTCATAACAAAACACAATATTTAATTAAATAATTAGGTTATTTTTTATATGATGCTACTTAAGAACCTGTTGAAAATTTGAAAAATGTTCCAGAAAAGCTTAAAGAATTTGAATTGATAAGAACATCAAATCTTAAGAAAGGAAGAATGTAATAATACTATAATTTCTCTATAATTTTTCTTTTTCATTATTTTTCTAAGTTTTTTCTTAATTATATACTAATTACTATAATTAATTTAACTATATTTAGTTTATCAATTTATCAAATATAATTAGAATTAATTTAGCAAATATAATATAGATAAATAAGTATCATTATGACTCATTTACTTCACCCTATAGTGCAATTTTGCTTATCAATAATATGATTAATATGATATTAATGATCAACTTTAATTTGTAATGATTTATATTTATTTTCTATTTTTATCTTTATTTATTATTAATTATATGTCTGAATCTTCTAGATAGATTAGTAAGCCTTATAAGCAAACTAAGCTTCTATTTTTAATATACTTTTATTTTTAAATTTATATATTTTTAAAAATTATTTAAATTTGACAAGATTTCTTTAATAAAATTTTAAGTATTTTTATTGGTAAAATTATATACAAAGTACTTCGAATAACAAAATTTTTATAAAATATTTGCATACAACAATTAATATAAATAATGCTATCAATAATCAAATTGAATATTGGGATTAATGGACAAAGTTTTTATGATTATATCAGATAATAGAGCAAATGTAAAAGCAGTGATAAATCAAATAGGAGTTAATAAAATGCCTTGTATAACATATACACTTCAACTTGTAATTAGCAAGGGTCTTTTACTAGCTGAAGTATTTATAGCTCATGCAAAATGATTAATAAATTTTTTTATGAGCTCTAAACAAAATGAAAGGTTGGAGAATGCACAAAAAAGCTTGAGAATTTCAGAAACAAATGTAATATTATTTATGTTTTTTAAAATTTTTTTATTTAATTTTTTTTTTAATTTAATTTTTTAATTTAATTTTTTTTAATTTATTTTTTAAATTGTATAGATAATTTGGAATACTAAAGAATATCTTCACTTAAAATGTAATGTTCTAACTCATTAGAATTCATTTTTTTTAATATAGGAATGACTTCTCTTAGTTAAAGATTATATTAATATTATTTTAATTATATTAAGCAAAGATAATTCACCTAATGCATATCAAGATTATAATTATCTCAAGAAAATTATACTTATAAATTATGAGTAAAATTTAATGAACAATTTAACTTATTTACTTGGTCTATTTAATGAATATACAGAGTATTTTAGTGGTAGTGAATATGTTACAATTAGCATAGTGTATCTGTTAATTACTGCTCTTAAGATTAAGTTATGTTCTATTATTCAAGACTTTGATTTAATTTTGGATTTTAATTCAGACAATAATGCATTTGATGATGATCTTGAATATGAATATGATGAAGAAGAAACTACAGTAGGGCCAAAAAAACATCAAATCAAAATTAATACACTTACAAATACAAATGGATTACTAGATCATATAAAATTGTCTCTTTATAAAACTTTACTTCACGATTGGCCAACTCCTGATATAAATGCATATCTTGCATATCAATTGAACCCAAGATGCAAAAGGTTACATGTTTTATCAACTGATAAGTGAAATCAGGTTGAAGAAATTTTGCATACTATGTATGCAGAATTTAAGGAGCAACACTGTTTATCTAAACAAGTTACTTCATTAACATCCAAATCAGTTTCTATGACTAATCAAAATGAAAAGCAAGCTTACCATAAAGGATTTATCAAATCTGTTTTTTCACCAAACTTACAAAACTAAGATAATAATAAAGTTGCACGTTACCTTGCTCTTTCTGAGCTTGGTTTCAAGGGAGATCCCATGGTGTGATGGTCTTTACAAAAACAGCAATTTCCAATTTTAAGTGAAATGACCCAAAAATTTCTTGCAATTCCTGCAACAAGCACACCAAGTGAGTGCTTATTTTCAGATGCAGGAAATGTTATGAGTGTGAAAAGAACATTATTAAAGCCAAAGTTATTTGACAGAATGGTATTTCTAAAACGTAATATGAAGGAAATCGATTTTATTATTCCTGATGTCTAGGATTAATGCATGGTTGTTTTATAATATATATCACAAATTATAAGTCATGTAAATTGCATATTAAATAATATAGCAGTAATAGTGCATGTTGATTTTATAATGCACAAATTATAAGTCTTGTAAATTTTAAGTAGCGATAATAATACAAAGTTGTTTTTAATGTTGCAAATTATTAAGTAATATAACGATAATAATACAATTAATAAATTTCATGTACTAAATTCTTTTATGTAATTCTAAAAACTCAATGAACATTCGAACACCGGTCAAAATTTTGTACCGATGCTCGAAACTTTAGAGTTTGTGACCAATCGATGCTCGAAACTCATCGATTCCAATCTCTATAACTTAAAACACATTCACAAACGAATATATGTTAATCTTTACTAATAGGCGAGATAACACAACTAAAGGTTGGTGTCAAACATGTGACCCTCAGAAGACAACATAGGGATGGGCAAGTGGAAATAAGGATATTGATAATTGCATTAAAGAATTTCAGCTTAAAGCTACGACATACGAAGCTGTAATGGAATTTAATAGATTAGTTGATATTCGAAATATTGATGATAAACTTTTAGCAACTTGATTAGATGGAATACGAGATAAATCTACAAAGTCACGTATACCATCATATAAAGTGGAGCTTAAAATATTAACCCGATCACAAACTTTATTAAAGAAGTTAATATTCGGGTGTCTTCATGCTTCGGGCTTTTAAGTTTATAATTTATCGGACACAATCACTGGACTTAACAAAAGTCTATCAGATCAAACTGACCAATTAGATTCTTTATTTAATTCATTGAGAGAAGCGCTTGAGAGTGAGAGCACCAAGTCCAATAAATTATGAATTTAAAAGCTCGAAATATGATTTTACTTGACTGCACCTATTCAATTGTTATACAGTCTAATAGCTTTAATATATACTTAAATATTTGATAAGTTTGTATATTATGCACAGTTAAGGAATAGTGATCTTAAAGTATATGGTCTAACTCAAACACCGCAACAAATGAATTTAGTTTTAAAAGAAATGATATGTATGGAGAATGTGCAAATTATGAGCGATATAACACATCTCCAACTTGGTGTCATTCTTGTGATCCTCAGAAAATAACAGAAGGATGGACAAGTAAAAATGGATGTCGACGATTGTATTAAGGAACTTCAACTTAAAGTCACATCTTATGACAGCATAATCGAATGAATTCCTTTTAATAGATTAGAAAACGTTCAAAACATCGGTAAATGGGGTTTGGCTCTGTGTTTTCAGAAACGTGGTTAGATGGTAAAAGGATAGTTTCAGATAAATTTAGTGATATAGTTACTGCACACGATCACGCACACCATCATGTGTAGTTGCACTTAAAACTTTACCTGGTTCACAAAGGAATTTTTTAAGAGAAATAAGTTAAAATAATTTATATTTAATTTAGATAAATTATAGGTAAATCATTAACATTATAAATTTTAATTTATTTAACAAGTTTAAATGTTATACAGAATTTAGATTCATGGGTAATAATCTTGAAGTCTATGGACTAATTCAAGACACAACTAATAATGAAAATTTGATAGTATTTCAATATGCAAATAGAGGATGTCTTCGTAATTTCCTGTCTCCAAATTTTAAAGATCTTAATTGGAAAAGTAAATTAGTGCAACTTGTCGATATATCTAAAAGTCTAGTAAACGTTCATAGATTAGAATATGTTCATAGAGATTTTCATAGCGGTAATATATTGCAAAATCAATATATTAATGGTGATTTAATATCTTATATTGCAGATCTGATGATTCTGATTTAGAAGATGGTATTTATGGCGTTTTACCTTAGGTTGCACCAGAAGTGTTGAATAAACAACCATATACGAAAGCTGCTGATGTTTATAGTTTTAATATTATTATGTTTGGGAAGACCTCCTCATTATGATGTTGAGTATGATGAAGCATTAGCTATTCGAATATGCTGTAATGGATTACGTCCTGAATTTGCGAGTGACCAAGAGCATTCTGGTCACGTGATGGTGGACAAAATAATTTCGAATTTCTTAAATTTGTTAAGGTAAAGTTAGTGTTAGATTTAAGGTTTAGAAATAAACAAATTATAGTAAAGTTAGTCAAGGAAAATTTTTTATTAGAACGTTAAGAGCAGTTTTTTATGTGAATTCTTGGGATAAAGCGGGTTTTTTGTCAAAACGAACATTTGGTTTGAATTTTTCTGATCGTGCTACGTTGTACTAAACTTCGATTAAATTTGTCGCTGATCATCATGTGACCCGAAAAACTCTTGGTCGCCCTGGTGGATTCTGAATTTGCTAAAAACACTCCTGAGTGTTATATCAAATTGGCAAATCAATGTAATAGGCCAATCGCATCTGATGAATTGTTGAGATTGTACAATATAGTACGTTATAATGCTGCAAAGGATAATGAATTAGCAAGATTAAAAGCTTTCCAACGTTATCAACCGAATTGCCAAATTTCCCTAAAGATAAACTTACAAGTAAACTGTTTAACTTTAAGAATCTTCCCGAGCCAATTAATTCTTTGACTGCAAAATTGATACAGATTCCTGGTAAATAACTCCGCTTATTATATCTGGTTTTTAATTATTTGATAAAAGTTTTGATTATTTTTTTAATTTTAGGTTCTCAAAAATGGGAAGTTTCGGCCTAATGACCATTATAAACCTTCCACTGTATCATCATCAAAAAAGCTCGAACATGTGATCTTAATGGCTAATATTGACTTAAGGATCCCTGAATAATCAGTTTTTTTTTATGTAAAATATGTATGACTAATATTGTATTTGAAGTTTCTTAGTTTGAAAATAATTAATTTTGACCAGTGATGATTTAATCACCTATTTTTATTAAAATTTAAAGTTAGGGTGCAGTTTTAAACTAAAATAAGGGTTAGAAATAAAGACAGACCAAGTTGATAGAAGTTTAAAAGCAACTTAGATTGATTATAAATCGTTAAATTTAATAAATGTGTAACCTATTGATACGATAGTTAAAGTAAATTTATTTTCTATTGTTATAATAAATTGTCAAAATATTTAAGTGCAAATTTTTTATTACGTTATCTTTTTTGATTTCTCTTTTTTAATCTTTATAACTCTTTCTGTCCGATGACCAAATTTAAAGACTATCCTTTTTATCTCATAAAGCATTTGATGAATCGCTTTCCAATATCTTAGTAGCAAATCGGCTAATAGATAATGTAAAGTCTTTATTACACCTGAAGACTTTGATTTTGTATTAAGGTTTTATAAGACTCAGCAAATACAATAATCGGGAATGCAAAAGATCACTATTGAGGCAAAAATACATTTTTTATACGTGATATTGAAACACAAACCAACCTTATAATTCAATTTATTAAGGCGTTCTCGAGTGCCTCAATCAATAAGCCAATATGTGTCGGAAGTATGTCAGGAATTAAATCTTAATTACAGCTGTTTCATTATTTTGGGACATATGGTAAAAAATTGGCCGATTGATTGTTTGGTCAATTCGATAAGTGCACGACATAATCTGTGACTGATTTCAATCACCTCCCGACTATGCTGATTCGATCGTATTTGGTTATTCTTTATTTGTTTGCGATTTTATAAAATAATTTTTTTTTTATCTAACATAAGTAAAGTGTGCAAAGTAAAAGTTTAAATAACCCTATCGACTTCTAATAAGACTTAAAAGAGAACCAATTTTTTGAATAATTTGAAAAAAAATTTTAGTATGAAAATGCCTCGCAGGTTATACAAATTTTTTAAAAATAAAACGGAATTAAGAAAATGGAAGAGAACGGATATTTCCGGCATCACTTCATTTTTAGTTATTAATTTAAACTGACAAAATATTAGGCCAACATTACGAACCGTGTTAGATAAATTCAAAGATCAGTATAATGTAACAAAAATAAAATCTCCCGAATATTTTTCTTTATGATATTAGTCACGACTGTTCAATCAAAAGTGCTGCGAAAATGAATAAATGCTATGGAGGCAGCTCTGAGTTATCTTCATTCGAAAAAGGTAGAATTAAGTAAAAAAAAGTATCGTTTAAGAATGTGTTGAACAATTAACACGGTTAAAGAAACGACATATTGTTTGCTTGTTTAAGGTGTAAACTTTTTTAAACAAAAATTTAACTTTTGATGTTAGGTAAGGGTAAATAGAACTAGACAAAAACTGTAATAAATTTTGCAATAAATTTTTTTTTGTTAGAGCCCGAAAGGTGGTTTCATAGGCAACATTTTGAGATATACGAAACTGATATGCATGTTACACAAATTAATTAGCATCAATTTTGAAATTAGAGTTTTCCATTTTTTCTGTATTTGTTTAGTTAATATCAAAAGGCAACTTTTGAATTGATAAGTTTTTAAATTTAATAGTTTATGATAGTCAAGTCTTATGCTGGGAATATATTCAGACGGTGATTGAAATTAGTGGCTTAACCTGTCACAGATTACGAACGTGCATATATCTTTGCTAGATGACAATGATATGAGCGCTGTACAGGGAAAACTTGTAAGTATCGGACTTTACAATAAAAGACGCAAGCTACAGCAAAGACCATTAATGTTACACATATATTAAACGGTGAGGGATTATATCTATCACAATTGAATCCTACAAAAATAATTTAATTTGTGATTGATCACAGGCGAGAGGGATTCACCTTGGATCGGGCACTGTCTCTGCTGTTGGCGCAAGCGATAATTAAAGAAGAATCTCTTTCAATTATTTCTGTATCGGTCACAATCAGTAAAGATTGTATCCGATACAAAATATAATTGAAAATCCAATGACAGGTTTTCCGTCCATAATTATTTTATATCTTTTTTAATAAGAAAAAACTTGATGTTTATTACATAATCTTTACATGTTATAAACTGAAGTTTTATCTAATAGTTATCGTTATCTTATGATCATCAATCCTCATTACACAAGCTTCTAGATTTGAAAATTATGACTCAGGGTCAATCTGTCCAATAAAAGTATGAGATCGGTCGATCACATGGTTTATTGCACTTGATAGCTGGCCAATCAATTTTAATCAGTAACGATCAAGAAGGTTTACTTTACTAGATCAAGGATATCTCACAATCCAACAGTCAGAATTCAATGTATAAAAATTATTATACAACACCTCCTAGATCGTGAGACATATAATCCGTTTTTTATTTTAATAAAATTTTCATTTTTCATATATGTATTCGATATTTATTTAATTTATTAATCGTTTCTAATTATTTTGATTAATTTTAAAGGAATATAGATATTTGTAAGCTTTTTCCACAGCTTTCTTTTTTTTAATAGATTCGATAGATAGGGTTTCAAAAAATCCCGGGAATAAAAAGTACTTTAAACTGTATAAAAAAAAATTTTAATTAAATTGGCTAGATCAATGAATATCGGTTTGTCCACCATGCTTATGATCATAGATTTGTTTCTTGATATTTTTTTAAAACTTAACCACGACTTGTAAATTCTCGATATTTGATAAATATCACAACTTTCGGAACAAATGATTGGCTGAAAAGTGTCGCTACGCGGCACATGTCAACCAATCATTTGCTTCATGATATTAATTATATATAAGTGACTATAATTACATGACAGTCAGATACGTATACGTAGCAAATATCAGCATATATATAGCATATATGTAGAGCATATCTATACGCAGCATTAATACAGTTAGGAATTTTACCTGATATAGATCTGCAATATATTAAAAGACTATTCTAAAACCAATTTCTATTTTAAAAAAAAAAACGGTTTTTATATTATTGCAAAAGTTATTCTATGAACAGTAGTTTAAGAATCCAAAAGAATTTTCCAATTGCAGTGATCTACATTCGAAAAATCCCTAACTGTAATATGGGTTTTCCTAATTCAACCATCATTATCGTTATGTAACCCATAGCCACACATGCGTACGTATTCTTCATTGTCAGCAATATCGATATCAACAAAATCTGGAAAATTGCTTTAATGAATTTTCCTTATTAAGCACATTTAATTATAAATTGCTAAACCGTGCATTTAATATCAAATATCCATTTAAGGAACATTTAGATCTCGTAATATTCGTACCTACTATTATTATTTCTTCAGATCAATTTATAGATCTGCCAAGCAATTTACAGATCTGCCAAGCAACTTACAGATCTGCCAAGCCAATTCGGATGTTAATTTTTATAGAAATATTGTATCATTGTCATAATTCATTTCTTGATGATTGTATTAGAATTTTTTTACCTTTGACAATGAAGCAAGTACAATCAATTATTTGAGGCTGTGATTAGATTAGATGTAAGTTAGAAAAAAACTTTAGATACTATCATAGAACGAAATAATGTCTTAAAGACTTATATCAACATTTATGACCACGAAAAACTATATAAATCCCTTCGATCTCCCTTCCAATTTCTTCACTTCTCTCAAGTAAAAATCAAATAAATCAAAACAATAAAACAATAAAACAAACCAATAAACCAATAAACAGACATAATGAAGTACCTTTCCTTAGTAGCCGTCCTCTTCTTAGCCGCCGCTGCAGTCGCCAGACCTGCTCCCCATAATGGTTTATTATTTTTAAATTGTTTGCAATTTTGTTACTAATGCCTTGCTACCTTTAATTTAACTCTATTCTCAAATACATTATTAGACAAACGTGTTGCTGTACCTGAACAGGGTATGTAATTTTTTTTTTCCTTGTCAAGATTTTATTTAACATTCAATAATTTTTCTTTCTCCGTTTCTCTAGAAAAAAAGCGTAATGCCTTACTCCGTATGTAATTTTTATCATTCTTTGCAATATTAAATTCGATTCGGTCTAATTCTAAGGATTATTTTTATTATTCATTAGACAAGCGTGCTCCTAAGCAACGTATGAAATTTTTTATTTCAAACATTGTTATTCGAATTTTTAATTACTAATATAATCCTTATTATTAATTAGACAAGAAACGCAGTGCTCTAAGTACGTAATTTTTATCCTCTCGTTTGGTTTTTATTTAATTATTATTATTAATCTCCCGTTTCTTTTCCTCCAGAGAAACGTGGCGATGAAGAATACTACGATGGCGGCGACGACTATGAAACCTACTACGGCGGCGACGACTATGAAACCTACTACGGCGGCGACGACTATGAAACCTACTACGGTGACGGCGAATACTATGACGGCGGCGACGACTATGAAACCTACTACGGTGACAGCGAATACTATGACGGCGGCGACGACTAT